GCCTTCTTTTGTTTTCTGTTAACTTAATGATATGTTTTTTCTGCCGCATTCTGTTCTTTGATGTTGAGAATGTGGTGAGAATTTAGATTTATGGAGCCTAAATTACTTGTGAACATGCTCATTGTGGTTAACATTCAAGGTAAAACAGATGGGAATGCTGTGTGGGTTCGATTTCATTTTGTTGTGAACATGCTGAAGCATGTTGAGTGTGGTAAGGTGCTGCTTAATTGTCAGAGTTATTTGGGTGTCAGTTTCAGTTTAGAAGCATGCTTTAACATTGTTGAAGAGCCATGTGTAGCATGTTTTTTTTACAGTGGTTCAAATTTATTTCAGAAACTTTTTCATGGTGTTTTTCTATGTTGAAAATGTGTTAAGTGTCAACCATCAAGGTAAAGGTTGCATGCTAGTATAAGACTTATTTGTTTTTGCCCTTTTTCTTTTCTGCCTTGTATGTCTATTATTTTTTAGTCACAATTTTATATGTCATTTGGGTGTTGAATGAGGTATTAAAACTCAGACATAAGTCTTATGTGCATGCTTGCTAAGAGTTATTAATAATTTTTAAAACAAGACCATGAGTAGTACCAAGCTTGGGCTTGTTTTGGTTTGAGGTATTTGAGCTGTTCTAAGCCGTGTTTTCTGTATTTTCCATGTATTCATAAGCTGATTATGAATTGGTTTAAATGAATATCAACCTATTCTGAATGGTAATGACAAAACCAAATATGAAGAACATTTTGAGGTATTGTGTTTTGGCATCTCATGATATCTGTTTGGATGAGATTATGTAAATGGATATGATAAAGCCTTTTCATATAATAAACTTAATTTTTAAAATCAGATATATAGCTGAAAACAAAGATCTTATCTTGAGTATGTGCCTTAGATTTATGCACCTGTATCTGTGTCTTAGATTTATGTGGCATTCAATGTTGTGTGTATTTAGTTGTCAAAACTGATTTGGCAATATGACTTTAGTTGTCCAAAACTGAGCCGTCTATAATTCTTGTTGGTATAAGATACATGGTAGCTGAATCTATTAATTGCTTTGTTTCTGTTTGTACAAAGTTGTTTTAATCCCTTGTCCATGAGAGGTAATTGGAAGAGAAGCATGTACATTCATAATGGTAATAGATTACCTTCTAAAAATATTAGGTTGATTATCTTCATTTAAATAAGAGTACATTAACAACTTCTTGTGTCAAGAAGAATTGGAGTTATTTTTTATTTTATATTGATTGGTGACATTCATGTATTTGAGCACATTTCAGTGGTCTGTTAACTTGTTATGTAGTTAATTATGCCTTGTTTTGTGGACTGTTAAACTCATTGCTATGTTTTTCTGCCGAATTATGTGGTTTGATGTTGAGAATGTGCTCAGAAGTTAGATTTATGGACCCTAAATTACTTGTGAACATGCTGAGTTTAGTTACAATTCAAGATAAAACAGAAAAAGGAAACTTTTGTGTGGTTTTGGTTTGATTTTGTTGTGAATTTGCTGAAGCTGGTTGAGTGTGGTAAGGTGCTGCATGTTTTTCCAGAGTTATTGGGTCTATGTTTTAGTTTAGAAGCATGATTGAAGTTGTAAGTTTTACATAGAGTTGAAGAGCAAGTAGCATGTTCTTTTCAGTGCTTTGTTTTTTGCCTTTTATTTTTGTGCTTCCTTATGTGCATGCTTGATAAGAGTTAATAAAAGTTTTGAAATGAATAGTTGTTTAGTACAAAGCTTGTGTTGGTTTTGGTTTGAGGTAGGTGAGTTGTTCTAAGCCATGTTTTGTGTAGTTATACCTTATGTGCTTCCTTATTGTTCTCTTCTTTCATGCTATCTGAAGCAGCTTAAGCCTTTTTTTTTTATATCCTGTGTCAGAAGTAATACAGCTGAATCTATTAATTGCTTGGTTTCTGCTTGAACAAAGTTGTTTGAATCCCTAGTCCATGAGAGGTAATTGGAAGAGAAGCATGTACATTCTTAGAAACATAATGGTCATAGATTACCTTCTAAAAATGTTAGGTTGATTATCTTTATTTAAATAAGTGTACATTAACAAATTCTTGTGTCAAGAATAATTGGAGTTATTTTTTATTTTATAATGATTGGTGACATTCATGTATCTCAACCCTTTTTTAAAAGATAGAAGCTTGTGTTGTTTTTTGCCTTTCTCTTTTGTGCTTCCTTATGTGCATGCTTGGTAAGAATTATTAAGAATTTGAAATGAATAGCATGTGTAGTACCAAGCTTGGGCTGGTTTTGGTTTGAGGTAGGTGAGTTGTTCTAAGCCATGTGAACATGCTGAAGTTTGAATGTTGCTTTTGTGCTTCAATGGTCTGTTAAGTTTTTTGAAAGCTCCATTTCAAAAAAGTCTGTTAACTTGATTTGTGGTTAATTATGCCGAGTTGTGTGGTTTGATGTTCAGAATGTGCTGAGGAGTTATATTTATGGACTCTAAAGTACTTGTGAACATGCTGAGTGTGGTTACAGTTCAAGATAAAACAGAAAAAGGAAACTTTTGTGTAGTTTTGGTTTGATTTTGTTGTGAACTTGCTGAACCTGGTTGATTGTGGTAAGGTGCTGCATGTTTTTTTAGAGGGTCTATGTATTAGTTTAGAAGCATGATTGAAGTTGTAAGTTTTAAATAGAGTTGAAGAGCAAAGTGTAGCATGTTATTTTCAGTGCTTTATACTAACTTGCAGAGCCCTTTTTCATGGTGTTTTTATATGTTGAAAATGTGTTCAGTTTCAGTCATAAAGATGAAGTTATGTGA